TGCTCAATGCACGTACTTGCATGCAAGTATCGAACGCATCCTTGAATAATTGGAGGCTGACAGTTGTATCAAAAGGACTGGTACCATATCCCCAACGACGAGTTTCCCATCCCACTCGACCATGGATAAAGCTTCCCAGGTCATCAAAGTAGTGTGTAGAAAAAATCCAGTTAATAGCAGCTTGAGAACTTAGGGGGTGTCTATAAAGCAGACAAGTGATAAACGTACGCGTTAGAAATTGTTTGAGATAACCGTCTGTTGAGTCAAAGTGTAAGATTGATCGTACCAACGACTACAGTTCTTGTGTATAGCGGTTTTCTCTTGAACTGCCAAGGTTTGCCCTACGAGCGCTGCCGCACCACACGTGAATATGAACATCTTTATAAATTTGGATAGCGATAACATTTTAGTATTACTCAAAGCGAAACTATTCGTGGCAGACACTTTCATAATCTCTTGTCCGTTTGAAGACACAGCAAGCGAGGTTTTCGGATCATCTGGCACTCACCAATGATGATTTCATTGGGATAATGCACAAGGCATAATTTAAAGCCCAAGAATTTGCTTTATATAGACAAAACACACGCTATCTGAAGCTCGTTTTAGAAGTGTGTGCGTTAGTTCTGGTCACATGTGTCGAAAGTAGGAGTATGCTCAGCAGTTCGGCTGCGTTGCCTTTGATCGATCCAAGATATTGAATCAATCATTGAATTATGGGTCCATCATTGTTGTAATTATAATCTTCCCGCAATTCTTTTTATGAAGGCGATGTGCCGCTGGTGCTAGTTCGACTTCGCCTACTCTTTTTACGGACTAGCCAGTATACGCTCAGACGGTTGGAAATCAAACGTTATTTCGCACGGTTGATATCGTTATGTCCATTCTCTGCTGCTGCTTATTGTATATCTTCAGCCCATCACCTTAATATCTGTAGGTGTCTTTTTTTATGCGTATTATTCGTTTCCTTTTTTGGTGAGGAACAAAATGTACACCTGATCTTGTTATTGTGTCCAGATTTTTATTATTTAAAATTAGGCATCAAAACCAAATTTGGAAAGTGAGAAAACTCAACGCAAGGACCACAATGTTTGCACGTGTGTGCATTTAGAGAGTTATTGTCAAAATCCATTGCACCTCGTGGATATGTTTCTAATTCGGGAAAGTCTGCTGTCTCCGCCAAATATAATTTCAGAAATCTCTAATTGGATAATCAGAAGAATGTTACACGCTTGGGAATGTTAAAATGCCACTTGGACAGATAATGCGACTTGAATGCACCAATTGTGGATGCTTACAGATGAGACAGCAATACTGGCGATGAAGACTTTTCGTTAGGCGATGACAATATAGCTCGGTTTTTGTAAAGCTTTGAATACTTTACCCAGTGTATAAAGATTCCATATTATTTGTTCATTTGTTCATTTGTTTATTTATTTATTTATTTATAATATTTATTATTGTATTGTCATAAAGAAAGTTCGCTATGATTGTTGAGACAAAGAATCACGATGTTGCGTATGCAACAAAGTTTGGATGAAATTCAGGAATCTCTTGCCATATTCGTGCGGTTCTACTGCTGATATGCCATTCTGCAGTTATCGAATTCGGATAAAACTTGGTGTCAGTAGGGACAGAGAATAAAGGGAAATGGAAACAGAGGTAAATGTAATAATACCTTGTCATAGCTTAGTGACTTCCATGTATGTTCTATTTTCTTTACAAAATTATACGGTGTTAAAATGTCGATAATTCCCAAATAATAAATGTAGTTCTTAGGCGAATTGTCTTCATCAGTTGCTGCAAAACCACCATCATCCGAGTAAAAGATACAATGACTACGTCTGAACACACACAAATTTTTTCGTTAAGTTATTATGTTAAAACGGATGATTCCTCTTAAACCTCACATAATCTTTAGCTTACTCTGAGAATGCATCAAGACTGAGTTTTGTAGATGAAGGGCCTAGCTTTAGAGGATCCGTTGTTTTTACTGCCTTTCGTAATTCAGAAACGGTCACTTTATTCTCCCGTTTATGATGTGACGGTACTCGGTTGAGTTTCTTCGTATCCGGCTATCGTGATATTATAATAGAATATTTTAGACTCATTTTACACTATTGCAAAAGCTCGATTAATATTATTAAAGCAAGTTTATACCTGAAACACGGTTAAAATATCTTCTCGAATATTATCCTTATTTCCACGTGTTGTGTCGTGTAATCCAACTAAAAGACTATAGTCCATTATATTCAATCGTTCGAGCAGCTGCAAGCCATCAAACAAATACATTAGTATCATGAGGCATAATAATACTTAGAACGCGCTCTTGCAGCTTTTAACAATCGATGAAAAGTCGTCTGTTCCGAGTACGTATCAATGAACAGTTGAAGCCATATTTGCGTAGTTGGCACGTCCAACCTTGTCCAAGCAAATATGTGAGAATCGAAAATGTACAAACCTCTACATCTTTTTTAAGTTGCTTCACAAACAATTCTTGCTTCATTGGACCTAACTCCAAATTCCTTTTTCTGTTTAACCAGTTAAGATCTTTGAGAACAGCTCGCGGATTCTTCTTTGCTTCTTCTTCAGGATATTCGCGCCCTATTGTTGACCCCTGAAGAGCATAGCAACACAATTACTTCATGTTAATAATTCACATCACTGGGTTCCAAACATCATACAGAGTCGCTAAACACCTTCAAATCGTATATTTCATGAATGTCGCGGTGGGGAGGAAAGATATTATTCATTATGACAAAGTGTATCTTGCGCCCGCGTGGTAATTTTACTCTGTGGAGACCATAAAACCGAGAAAGAAGTGTATGTGGGTTTTCCTTCACATGCTTTGTTGCAAAATAAAGATAGTAGGTTATTGACTATGTTAATACAAGGAGACGGCTGCATGTAATAAAATATTCACCTCATAGTAATCTTTTAATATCTTGCGCATAAATTTATGCTCTGTGTTATGTATGGTTTTTATAATAAACCGATAGTCTCTGGAAAAGTAGAAGAAACTTCCGCTCTTCCCAGGCGATCCTAATTCGGACAAGATATATTTGCTCGTCAGGGATACCAAGTAATCTGCAGCATCAATATGAAATATCGATCGTAGATTGCGGAAGACCCACGGGGCATAATCTTTAAACTTGAAGTCATATTTTGCAGAAGGGGTGAGTTCGTTGCCCGTTCTATTAAGGCATAGGTTGACGTCGAGTTAGTTCATACACATATACATTTGTCATCTGAACTTGGGACATTCTCGCCGAATCTGAACATTATACAAATCTTCAAGAGCTAAAGAATAGTTCCACGATCGATTGACAATGAATGCAGTTGAAAGATTGTTTGAAGATAGGACTTGTTGAACAAGGAGAAAGGTCCCCGTGATCCTAATTACTCAACCTCATCTTATCATTAATCACTTACATATCGAAAGCCAATTTGTGTGCAGCAGTGAAATCTACATCAGTTAACGGTCTCTGCGGTTTCGCATTGCAGCGCGAGACCTATTTAAATAGAACGAACACTCAGCATACAGTAATATAACATTTTTTTTCGAATTCTCTTTTTCCGATTATCAATTGCACAAGAAGCTTCATCGCTCCTACAATTCCGAATAAGCACGTAGTATCCCATAGCATTACATACACCAACTCGTATTCCTGTTAACATGTTATACATAAGAACGTAATTGACATGATCTTCATCAATTCTGGTCCCTATAACCACTCTATCGGTATCCTCATCTTTGTCTTTGCGTCTTCGTGATGTGCGTCGTTGTTTCTTGGCTTGCTCCGACCATTTTTGGGTCTCGTTTTCCGACGGTGAAATAGATCCTCTCATGTGATCAGCCAAATCTGCACTGTAGGTATTGCGCCTATGAACTCTCTTCCGACTCGTTATCTCGGATTGACTTTCATCGTCACCCTCTGATAAAATAGTAATGAATGTATCGTTCCTCTTGGCTTTGGTGGAATTTCGTTTCACATCATTTTGTTCAGAAATGGCGGATGTGCTGCTTGGTCTTTTTTTTTCTGTTGGTGTCGTAAAACTTCGCACGGGTGTTTTGTGTGTGCGTATTGAGAATTCTGGTGTAGATGGACTGAGGCGCGATGATTCGCGAGAGTTCGAGCCATCATTCGCGACTGAAATAGTCTTGGCTGTTATCACATCTACAGTGCCAGAAACATTCTCAGTTGAATAAGTGACTGTATTACTATGCGTTTCTATATTTGAAGTAATAACAGAATGTCCATTAATAGGTTCAACAACATTGCTCGGCGGAGCGTGCTTCCGTTCAAGCGGTTGTAGTTTGTCGAATTTTCGTTCAGTATGAATATCAGCTCCGTTTCCTTTAAAATCTTTAGACGGTTAATATCAAATCGAGTTAGCAAACAGACACAAGTAAAGCGACCGAGCACACAATTATGAGACATGTCCTTACCATTCGCTGAATGCTTGGTTGAAGAATCTGTTGTGGGAGCAACCATCATAGTTGGGATCCTCAACTTTTAGACACAATGTAAAGAATGTGGCAAGGTTGTTTATAATCAAAATATGCAGTATGCTAACAGGTTGAAAGTGACAATTATAGAAAAGGCAGAATTTCAGTAAGAATGAGAGTACAAAGACGCAGAGAATAAACCGAAAACCTGTCCCAACCTGTTATTAATACCTATAGAACGTCGTAATGGTAAATAAAAAAGAAGGCGGGAAAAGGTGGTGAAGGTTGAGTTAAGATGAGGGAGAGTAATAATAGGTAAGACAACAGAAACGCAAAACTTCAAAAAGTCGAAAGTGGGAGATTGTACAGCTTGGTTTTGCGATAAGAGTGGAATGAATATTCATGGTAGTGATCACAAAAGGATAAATTTAGCACTATGTTTGACGGATTCCTTTTCCGTGGCGCAGACCACGTGTAGCTTCTTTACCTCGTTTGGTTTTCTATTTCCTAATACTTTCTCCGGCAGTTCTTCCTCAACAGCTCTTTTTCACGCATGACAAAGCACAAGCATTTCACCAGACTAGTCGACGAAAGTGAATCTTCTCTTTCCAGTCCCTCGATCCCTCTCCAGTCACTTACCTCTTCCAGTCAGATTCACGTATCTACCGCGCAGTCTAGTGACCTCCCTCATGTAGTCAACGTTCGAGGAGGCCCTGTTCCAGGCATGGATATCGAGACAGAGTGGCCATTGAATGAGCTGCCGGAAGAGCTGCGAGAACCAGATGATGACAACGATAGAGCGGCAAATAATACGGAAGCGAATTCTATGAGGACTAATTGGAAAAAAGAGTTATTCTTGTTACTGGAAGATCCGTCGAGTAGTCGCCCTGCGTTTAGTGTGAATGTATTTGTGAGCTTTTCGATCGTGTTGAGTGCGGTCTTGACAACAATTGAGACTATTCCCTCTTTCCGAGCAACAGAGAGCTCTGTATGGTAAACAAAGAACTCTTTTTGATTATCTGTTGAATTTCTACATTCAATTCAATTTTTACTTCTCATGTTTAGGTTCAGTTTCGAAACGACAATTGTTTTGATATTTTCAATTGAATATCTTTTACGCCTCATTGCACACTCGGATTCCGCCAAACAATTACTTAAATTCGTTACTGGTATGTATGAATTGTCTCTTATTTGAACTCGAGTTTTATTCGTCACTGTATCGAATTGTGCTTGCGTGAGCTTTGAAGAGAAGAAAATGCGAGACAGTTGACAGTTATATTGTTTAGCAAAAAAGTCACTTTCGTAAATTAATTTCGATCCGTGGAAATAGCTCCTTTGGCGGTCATTGACTTCATTGCGATTATGCCTTATTATATTGAATTAATTTTTCACCATGACACGGTAATATATTTATTAGATAGACAAGCTATAGCTATATTTATAACAGGATATGGTTAAGCGGTTGAATATTCGTGGATAATTTAATCAATCTTGTTCTATTCTCCAATAATGTAGACATATGACTTTCGTTTTACTATCCTCAGACTGTTTCGTCTCCTACGAGTCTTTAGGGCATTCAAGTATTCGTCGACCATTATTATGACAATTGAAGTGATGATTGTAGCTGTTAAGAGGAGTATGGATGCATTGAGTGCTCTGTTCTTCTTCATGGTGACGAGTATTGTTTTATTCTCGACTTTGTTGTATTTTGCCGAACGCGGTGAGTATCGAGTTTATCCGTATTAGGTAAGAGTCGACAGTTACTCACAGTTGCAATTTAGGCACATGGGACACGGAGAAACATGCCTTCGTTGATAGTAATGGAAAACCTAGGTACTAGACCAAATTTGATTTAGCGTGACAAGCTTAATTGCGACAAGTCAAATAACGTAGACTTATTTCGTTATTAGTGCATTTGACAGTATTCCCTCTGCCTTCTGGTTTGTCATGGTTACTATAACTACTACCGGATATGGTAAGTGAGATCATGATTCCATTGAAACTCTTTGCGGGCAACAAAATGGCTTATTGTTTTATCTCTCAGGTGATATGGTGCCAACGACCTTTATTGGTAAATTGATTGCTTTCCCAGCTATGATGTGCGGCATTCTGGTACATGTGGTTATTTTTACTCGCCAATTGCTTTGTTGCTAGCCATTGGATTATTGTTAAATGTTGTTTCCGTAGTTAATTGCGCTGCCTTCGATTATTGTTGGGAGAAATTTCACGTTGGTATGGGAAGCAATGCGGCAATATAGAAGAAACACACCAAACGTTAGAGTAGGTCTTTCCCCTTTTGTGTTATGACATCAAACCTTACAGAACACTAATTCACGCACTCTACTATTTTTAAGGAACAAGCAAATAATGTTACCCTAATTGAGGACGCCGGAACTGGATATACCATGCGTATGCTAAAAACTGTTTGTTTATTCTCATACGTTCTAAATGTAAACAGTACTCATGCTCAATGAACCTTTCTCAGGTGCAAATACGCGAACAAGCTTTGAGAGTAATCATTCATATGCCTCTCAGCCTGCTCGACCCGGCTACGAGACTGCGAATGATGATATACTAGCCAGTCAGGATGCTCTTTTAGAACAAATGCGAACATTAATAACACTAGCTCAACAGAACCAGACAGAGTTGAATCGTATTCAAACAGTTCTTGAGCAAAGTGGAATCCGACTGAGAACGTCTGGCGAAGGGAGTGTCTCCACGGAGAAGGGATTTACGTCTGGTTCTTGACATTGATTGTCTGAGAGTTAATAATACTATTACTATAAAATGCGAACCAATAAGTAAATATTTCCTATTTAATAATAGATCATTAGAATATGCAAATGGTAACAGCACATGGTGAGCCGAGTCACACCATGTTGGGTTAGTGATCGTCGTACTTTCCGTATACTTCTAAATAATACTGTTATAAACTACTGTATGTCAGATCGACAGGAGGGTATTGACTACAATAGCAAAATTCGTTTCCACCATTCCATATTAGTATTAATTGTTTGTAGTGTTTAGCTAGCAGCGTGAAAGCATGTATTGGCCTTCCATAAACAAAATGAAACGTCCGAGCGTGAAGAAATAATTTGCTAAACATCTGGCTAATATCTCGTTGCGACTTTTAATTTTCGCTAGTTGGGGTGTGTCAAAATACGATTAGATGACGTTGTGTGTCAAGGTCTATTATAAGACTCGAGTTTGCTGTGGAGAGTGTTTGATAATAATAGAGACAACAAATTGCCTATTGTCTTTCTCCACTGGGAAGAGCTTAACAGCTCGGTTTCATTATGAAGATGATCAATCATTTGCTTATTATTATTAATTAAAGGGGTTCTTTTCAAAATGGTTAGGCGCCACAGATATCATTGGTAATGATAAGATCAATTATAATTTACTGTGTGACAGAAAAATGAGATTTTACGCCACAACCGGTCCCTTTTCTTCCCCCACCATATTGTATGATATCAAATATGGTTTTTAGAATAGCGTCATTGAAACGTTTGTACAATATGATAGAGCCTTTTCTATTCCTCACTGTTATTGCATAAATAATGATAACTATCTAATGACAGTTCTAATTCTTTTCAAAAGTCAACGTGCCACCAAAAAGTCGGCATTTTGTTTTGCCAGTGTTACATTATAGCGTGATACATGCCAATAGTCTAAAATTTTAGTCTCGCCAGTAAATTCTCACAGAAATGCAAGAAACTGCACTTGTTACATTTACCGAGTATTCTAACCTGGTTCATACCTTTTTTGTAACAATAAATCTTATTGTTTCCTTTGTTAGAGGAGGTTGTGTTTAATGACGTACCAGAGTGGTTGCATGGAAAGAATAACATGCTTCGGTAATTTGATGACCATAATTGTTACCATTGACTATTTATGTATCTTTAGCATCTTTCTTTATTGACTTACCTTTCTGGTTTGTTGTCATGGAGACCGCAACGTTCTTCTTCGCCAAGCAACACGTGGACTTTGACCCCACCATTGTGCTAGATCTTTTTCTCATATATACGCAATGAGAACAATTGTTCTTTCCCCATTTGTTGAAACCCCCTTCCCCCTGACGCCCATTTGCCTACATTATGGCAACGGAGTATGACATGTAACAAGCTAAAAATGATGCCACCAATACTCCGTAATATGAATAAATTAATTTAGCGGTTACATTATTCATATAGTCATGCTGCAACAAAGTGAACATTTGCAACATGGCCAGTGTAACACACTGGTGTGGCTAAAGGTTAACTAATTTGACTGATGACGTTTCGATTATTCACAACTGTTGACTCATGCACGGACTATGTAAAATTATCTTTATCATGTCAGAACGTAACTAAAATTCAACATTATTGAGACAAACTTTTATTTAATTAGGATTATATATATGTGTATGAAACTAATTTACATTAAATCCACCATGGAGCCCAAAAATTACTGGACTATTGGAAGCATTCAAAAAAAGAACAGGGTAAAAAATTGTCCCGTATGTTTTTAAAATCAATGATACCAAAATTCTCCAGGAACAAAGAACAATTTACTTATGAAATTCACCAAGAAGAACGAAAATCAATGAAAATCAACACAAATTTATGATGAACCAAGAAATAAACAAAACTAGAAGAAATATAACTGATAAAGTAAATAACTGTTTTCTTATTATCCATCAAATAAAAACCAGATATTTTTTTAAATTTATCTAAAGTAAAATAACTATTTTTTTTTGACAGTTAGAATGTTCAATTTATTGTTATATGGTACTTTACAGAAACTTGCATTTTTTAAAAATGTCTCGATGAGATTTGCAGGACGTTGTGCTGATAACCATGTGACAT